ATTTATTTTGCAGAGCTTGTCTTTGCATTGCTAAAATTGAAACTTTAACGTCCATGGAAATAAGAGAAAGAATGAACTGGAAACATGTGATTGGTTTTTGGTTCTTTTTTTTTTTCATCATAAGTGATTATTTGCATTCTTCAACCATATACTTTGTAGTCTATTTAAAATGTATTTACAACCATGTCACACGTAGGTAGCATAGTAATTGAAATTCAAATTTCATACTTGGGATTTTTAACTCCACATTACAGCAGAACTTAACTTAGGCAACCAATAAAAGGATGAAAAAAATATACATCTTTAACTAGGATGTCTCCTTAACAAAGGTGAAATAGACTTTTCATGAATTAGCAAAGGGATAATTTTGAATAACCTCTGGAGAAAGTACTTTGCCTAATATTTGGAGTAGTTTTGTTGTGGCTAATGCAGAGTTCATTGAGTATTATATCAATGAAGTCTGGTTTTATATCTCTTGTGTTTATTAAATACAAAGCATAGTACAAAAACTGTGATGTGAAGAAGAAATCTCTCACTGAGCTGCAGCAGCCAATTTATGGTCTAAAGACATTGTTCTTTAAACGCATCAAGTACATAAAACCACTAAGTACTGAAATGGCCAATAATTGTTTTGTTATCTATATTTTATGAAACATGTGGATGATTGCAATTATTTTATTTCAAATGGCTGAAGATTGTTGTTACTTATTTCATTTTTAGACTATTAGAAAATCTAACTTATTTACTGTGCCACTCCTTTGATCATCATATACTTACATAATTACACAGTTCAGCTGAATAAAAAAACCACAAAAACTTGTCACTATTTATAGCGAGCAATCTTTAAAATTCACCCTTCTTTTTCCATGTTGGCTAGTTAAAAGACTTTACCATTTAAATGGACAACTTCATCATATTTTTTTCTAAGTATAAAGCATGAGCTATTTTCAGGCCACTCAAGGAAAGTCATGGTGTGTAATATCAACCTCTTTGATTTGTTGCTGGCATATGCATTGCAAAATGTCATCTTGTCCTGTTGTTAATGGTCATGGCCAGAGAAAGCTTATGATCATTACTGATTTAGATCGCTGATTTATTCACACTCAAACTGACTTCGGTAAACAAAAGCAGAGAACATACATTGAATTTTAGCTCTGAAGAACAGTGTCTCAGACTGAGCTTTCTCTTTTCTCTGAAAAGTCAATCAGATTAGTAGTGTGCACCTATACAGCTCTCAATGAATATAAACTAGAAGGAAGTTGCCTATGTGATCTGCAGAATCGTACAGTCAACTCTCGCTTGTCTGTGGGTGTGTAACCCAGGTTGCAGATTAGCAGTGCTATGTTAAAACAAAGCAGGAAAAAAAAGGAAAAACACCCACCCTTTTTCTTTGAATTTCTGATCTCACTTTTTACTTCAGCTCAACTTCATTCCTCAATAAATGTAATAAACACAGGAAGTTCTTATCTAATGTGCATATGCTTTGTGTTACCTATGGTTTAGCTTTATGCGGGTTAGTCTACTCCATTTCTATTTTCAATAATTGAGAACTTACTGTGTAAATATGAAAGAGCTCAGCAACCCACAGTTTTATTCCACATTTGCTAAAAACCAATTGTTTGCCAAAATACCTCTTTAATTCACCTCAAAAATCATCAGAGTTCCCCTTTATATTATTTTTCAAACCCATGGGTAATAACAGCTTTCTGCAATATTGGACTCCTATTAATATAAGTAAAATGGTCACACGCTTGAAAGGCAAAGCAAAGACAATACAAGTGAACAAACCCGATGCACCTAAAAGGAGATAGATACAGTGGACTCCTCTGCCCCCAAGGCCTACAGACTGACGGAAAGCCGTTTCATAATAATATTTTGCAGCTGTACCAAAAACCTTGCATTAATTGACTAACTGTATATTTTATTCATTCAGTGGGTAATTAGCACCAAATACGCTTTTAAAAAAATCACATGCTATTGGGCAATGCAGCAATAACAGTGGTTTCTTTCTGAAGGAGTTGGGAGAGGGGAAGTTGTTTCCTGCTGCCCCCTCCCCATTCTCATTTTTCTCTGCATAACCTAGATAGCACCTACTTCATGGCCAAAGCTAAAAGACAGAGATACCCAGTGCACCAGCCACTGGAGGGATGGCTGAAACACTTCTCAAGGAGCAGGAAAAATATAAGATTTGGTATAGGAAACATTTAATCTTGAAGACAGACCAATGGAGAGGCTGCCAGAGGCCCAGTGGGGCAACAGAGGGCAGGAAAGCAACAGGGGCTGACAGCCTTTTCTCCAGGGAATCTGTTCATACTTTTTTCTTTTGCCACCAGGAAAATTAAAACTACTAACTTCACATTATCCATACGCATTAAAGATCAATGCAGATATAAAATAGTGTGATATTCTTTGCTATTCCGAAAGAGTAACCTACCAGCCCCTGTATTCTAGCTTTGGCAACAGCTTAACTCCTGTACTAAAATGAAAGCAAAAGGCTTTTCATACTGTGACACAACAGTGTACTGAACTAGAATACACCTTCTTGCTCCTTTGAATTTATACCCTAACACATTAGGTTTGATATGCTGACTACGATCAAAATGACATCAATGACAAAAACTGCAAGCTCTGCTTTAATTCATGTATACATATGATTCTTGTAGGAATCTCTCTAAACTACTTGACATCCTGTGCCAGTGAGTTCCACTGAGTAATAACTTTGCATAAAACATTACTTCATATGTTGCCTTTTAATTTCACTGAACATCTCCTTGTTCTTTTAACACTGGAGAAAATAAAAGGAAATACTTCTGTCACAAGACTTCTTACTGGAAAAATTACAAAAAAATCACTTAAAAAAAAGTACGTCTCCTCTGTCAGGTAGTAATACAATTGCATATTTTTCAGTTAGACAAAGGAATTATATTCATATCAAAAGAAAAACATTTAGCAAAATATTTGCTTTCAGACTTGTTTACTGTTTATTATTTTAATTTACATCAGTTACTGCTTGCAAAACTTCCAGGGAAATAATTTTAAATTGTCCTTTTTTTTTTTCTTTTCCCACTGCATAGTAAATACAGCCTTCTTAGTATTTCAGAAGCATAGTACTATAGAAATGTTAGGGCCTGCTTCTGCTCCAAATGAAGGTAATGGGAAAACACCAACTGACTTTATTAGGAGTTAGGTCAGGCCCCAAATTCGCAGCTTTTGAAACTTCATAGTTGAAAATTTTCTGGCTAATCTTCAGAACCGACTACTTCTACAACTATAACACTATTTACAACTTTATTTATATGTACTTCTTTATTACAATATGTAATATCAATGTTCCTTGTAAAGGTTACTATTTTATAGAAATTAGACTGAAGTTATTGCCAATCAACCTTTTAATAAACTTAAGTGGGATAACTTTCAGAATTTTTCTCAACATACGATTCAGTTTTTATTCACTCTTGCTATCTTTGACAATTGCTTAACTACCTTAATTCCAAAGCCTTTTTCGCTGTAATAAAAAAGTCCTTTTGGTAGAAGTTTATTGGTCCCGTTTCAAATTACGTTCTGAAACATTCTTGTACTCATGAGGACTCATTATTTTAGCAATTTTTCTGTTTCAACACAGTATATAAAGCCATGCCTCTCAACCAATCAACCTCAGTATAAAAGTGTAAGTGAGGTCAAACAGATTGCTCACTAAATCTTTGATCAAGTTGTCTGATCACATATAGACACAACTCTCTGAATTGTTGCATATGTTGTATAATGTTATCATACAAATTTAAGCATTTCCATTATTGACTGCTGCTTGTGTATGTATATATTAACTTGCTGGTCATAAAACTACAACAAAGGACAAGATATACCAATACTGAATTAAGACCTCCAGTCTTGTCTCTCCAAAAATTAAGAAAAATCCGTGTTCTTTATGATTGACCAACTCATGATGTTGTGCTTCAAATATACACATTTTCCAAAATTAAACTGTGAAGTTAATGTCAAATACTGTGTTGTAACTTTAAATATAACTGACATATTAGAACAGATAGATGGGTAATTATGATAAACTACACAATAGTGCTACTGTAGATAATATCATTTATCAATCCTGTGGTCCCCATCATTCATGCATTTACAGTTTGGGAATACAGTGACTGCAAAGGATAATAATTCATAATGGCTACATTCTCAGTACTTCATGCTAGCTCACTAGACAAAATAAAAAAGGTTAATTGTATAACTGGAAAAATGTAAAATTTTATTCCAAGAAAATTAACAAGCTACACAGGTAAATTTTGGCAAATGCAACTTTATATTGAAATCCACACATCTGTATCTTAAAGAAGGAAAGACTCACAGACTCTAATGTATTTCTAAAATACTAAGAAATCATATTATATGCTTTCACAAGTTAAAACTTAAATAATTTAAAACAACCAATACACCAAAATGTGCAGAAAATATAAACAAGACTGTGCCTTCAGTAGAATAAATGCTTCACAAATTGTGCAAGATATCATACTAAGGCTGCGGTCTCCCCATGACAGCTGTCTTAAAATATAAACATACATCAACTGCCTGTGTTTCTCAGAACAAACTAGAAAGGGCGGCACACCTAGAAAAAAATCATATCATCCCAGTGATGTGCATACTGATTTTGGGAACCATTGGAGTAAAAAGGAAAAAAGAGGACTAAGTGATCTTTCATGCACTCCCAAACGACTGACCAGAGTTATTGATTCAATTTTCCTTGCTTATTTGCTTCAATGCTAAACAAAATGGAAGATACTAGATAACCCTTTAAGGCAACATGTGTTTATTCTGTATAATTATAACTGTTCAATTATGACTGGATATTATCATTAACGTTGCCTAACAGACTGATATCTAGCTTTTTAAAAAATATAAAGAAGAGTCTATTAAACTTTATACCAAATCAGCAAAACCCACAGAATACAGTTAAATGTTAATAATTTCACTGTTAAGGAAAATGGTATTTAGAAAGAGTAATATATTTGGGAAAAAAAAAAAAAAAAAAAAAAAACAAAACAAAGTAAAGTCTAAATCTGAACAAAAATACTGCTTTGGAATGCTCCCCAAAACTTACTCACAAGGCAAACAGATTTGTAAGTGTGATAATCCAATAATGCATGGCACATCTTTAATCAGTTACAGTACTTGAGTCCCCAGTTTTCAGTCTTTGCAAAACAATAATTGTATGAAATGTTTTAAAGGTCTTCAGATGTCTAAAATTAGTTTTATCAACACATTAACCTCATATCAACTTAATTTATTAAGATGTCCAATGCTAATCTTTTTGATGGTCTTATTTTATGTAGTGATATACACAGCATTTAGCACTGATACTTAGCACCTGCTACTTTCATAATCTAGATTTCAACCACATAAAGGAATTCAGGGCAGTAGTTCAGTCCTTTGTTCTTAATTACAAACCTTCAGCAGTGGTCAGCAGGAACATGTTTAGGTTTAAAATAGGATTAGAGGTGAGCTATTGCAAAGACTGCAGAATGTTGCCCAAATCCTTACAACTGCTGACATCCCATTCTTGATTTTCTTCTCAAGACATGGCTACAGGCCACAATTGCTTAGCAGAGAATGGTAGTGTTTCACAAGGCTAAAGATTTACAGATGCTCCCTCATATAACACAGTAAGGTTCCCTTGGTAACCTGGATTTTCTGCAGTAAAGAAGGGTTGTGCTGAAACAGCGCCTCAGCTCCCTGTTGGAGAAAATGCAGACAAAAGGATTGATTCCAGCTTGGGCAAAACTCATCCAGACAGCGGCCGTTAGAAATCCCCCTGGTACTACCGGCCCTCTTGCGAAAACTCTCCAGTAACAGGCTACCAAATAGGGACCCCACAAGGTCAGAAAGAGGAATGTCATGATGTAGAACATTCTGCTGATTCTCTTCTCCATTTTGAACTCATCTAAAACCAGTAGCCTTCTCCTGCCTGTGGTGTTCGCGTTTTGCCTGATTCCCAACAAGGTTGGAGGTGTGGGACCCCTTCCAAATCCAGCCAGCCAATTAGCAGCTGCTTGACCACTCGCTCCAGGACCATGAAAAGTCCAGTTCTGGCTCACTGCTGCAACAAACTGGACTGGCTTCATTTTCCTGCGATCGTGAACAAAAAATATCAGCTTGAGGTAGACAAGCTGTGTGGCTAGGAGGATAAGGGCAAGAAGAAGCATAAATCCCAAGGAATCGTTAGCCCTGAAGGAACGATGCTGGAAAGTGCATTGGTCTTCCTCCCTAATGAACGAGTAGGTGCCCACATCTAAAACTGGGGGGAAAGCCATGGCTACAGAGAGAGTCCACACCATACAGATAACAGCCAAACAAGTCCAGAAGGTCAGCCTTTTCGTATAAAAACGGTGGTGGGCAATAGCTAAGTATCTGGTGACACTTATGCAGAATAACATGAAAGCAGTGTGAAAGCAGGACAAAACCCCCAAAAAGGCAATCACTTTGCAAGTAAGAGTCCCATATGTCCAAGTAGAGCCATTTTTTACAGAGGTGAAAACAAATGGGAAACAAATTGCAGATCTGAGGATATCTGAGCAGCAAAGATCCAACAGGAAGTAGTAAGGAGCTCTATGCAAGGTCTTATCTTTGACTAGCAAAATGGAGATCAGAAGGTTACCCACCACACTGACTCCTATTATGAAACCCAGTGAAGTCAGTTTCAGAAAAGCTGTTAAAGGAGAGAGATTTTGTAAAATGTTGTCAGCTGCATGGCTGTAGTTCGCCATAGATGGATGGATGATATGTATATTGCCTCAGTCAAGTCTCATGATCTATATATAAGAACAAGGAAAAAATAGATCCATACATCTTACTGAAAATGTAATCCACAAACAGAACTGATCTTGTGTCTAGTCATACAGTACATCCTCTTCTTTCTGATTTGTCATGCCATCAAAATATCTGAAAAAAAATCGAGCTATCAGTTCTTAAGTTAACAAGAAATGATGTCAGAAAGTGCTAACAAAGATGTTAATTTATGGAGAACCAAATGAAGTTGTAAATTTGAGTACTATTGTTTGTTTTTAAAAATCACGAGGCTCTTTTTTTATATACTTACTGTTTAGCATGATCGATTATTGGCATTTCACAGATTTGGCTTCTTACAGTTTCAGAACTGACCAGTGCCCCTTATATTCGGTAGCATACATAATTTTACAGTTAAAGCCTCAGAGATTTTATGAATCAAAAGATTCCCAGTTTGCAAGCCCAAGAGTTAATCACTGACATCTTTTAAAAAAATCCCCAAAGACTGCTGATATTTTGACATTACCTACATTTATTTTACGGCTACAGTATTTGTCAATGTTTTAGAGGCAGCTGCTGTGTTGATACGGATCACACCCAAAGAAACCCTGCAGAATTTATGTTTTTTAACCCAAGTCACCAAAGCACATTAATCACAGTGTGTTAGTTCATGCACATTGTAAGAGAAACAGTATTCATTATCCCCCTCCCTTCCTCCTATAAACCATAATTTTATCATTTAGGCTTTGAAATAAACAGGTATGCCAGTCAGTCAATTGCACTATGCTTTAGGGTCTCTCCCCTCCCCTCCCCTCCTCGCTTTAATGCAAATCTTTAAAGCCTCAACATAATTCATAATAAGCAACGGTCAGTGTAAATACTGAGCAAAAATAGGCAACACACCCAAGATATAATGCCCATCCTTTCGGGAGGGCTGGTTTTGGTTATGCTTAAATAAACATATAATAAATTGATATTTATTTTTTTTTCAGCTAATTAGGGCTCCGCAATTCCCACTAATCCTCCCAATGAATCGCACCGGAACACATTTCATGCAATAAAAATAAAATAAATTAAAGAACTGTCTGCTGCTGCTGGGGGGTTTTTTTGTTGTTTTTTTCTTTTCTTCCCTCCAGAGCCAGGGACAGGAGCCACAGCAGGCATGATCAGGCTCCTTCGTTATTTGCACGAAGTGTTTCCTATGCCACCCTCGGGTGTACAAAGGATATTCCCACTGAATCCCAGCAAAATCCTTCCATTCTTACCGTCCACAAAAGAGCCTGATTGCTGCTGTGTAAACAGAGGCTGATCAGATCATGGCATCGTTTTAAAACCATGAAATCAGGCTCCCCCTCCTTCCCCCCCCACACACGCACTGACACACACACACCATCACACACTCACACCGACACACACACTCTCACGAAGACACCCGCTCCCCCCCACGCACGGCCATGCAGGGCTGGACTGCGCCTGCAAGGGAGCCCGGCTGCCGCTGCCTGGCAGCCGCATCTGCCGGAGCCATGCGAGAGCCTCCCGCGGCGGGGAGCTCGGGAGAGCGGAAGAGGCATTGTCTGCCAACGCTTCCATCATGCCGCTTCTTTAGAAATCACCCCCCCTCAGACCCACTCCCTGAGCGGGGGGTGAGCCCTCCCCACACGCACCTGCAGCTGCGGCAGCCCCCGGCACCCCCGGCTCCCCAGCCCCTTTCCTCCTACCTGTTGGTGCCGGAGATCCCCACATGCCAGCGCCGCTCCTTCCCGCCGACCCAGGGCTGCTTTATCCGGGAGGCCTCTGTGAGAACCCTTTTTTTTATTATTATTATTTTCCTCTGCCGTCTTTCATTCTTCTTTCTCTCAATCCTTTTTTTTTTTTTCTTTTTTTTTTTTTTTTTTTTTTGCCTGGGTACCTTGCCGGAGAACCCAGTCAGCGGCTCGGGCGGCGCATGCTCACTGCGCCTCCTCCCTGCGCGCCGAGCCCCGTCCTCCCCTGTCGCAGCGGCACAATCTCCACCACTAACGCAGCGGCGGCCGCCTCAATGAGGGCAAGGCGGCCTCGGCGGCGGCTTCTGCCGGCGTCTCAGCGACGGCAAGGCAGCCTCGGCGGCGGTCTCCTCAGCGGCGGGCAGGCAGCCTCCGCGGCAGCAGCCCCCTCAGTGAGGGGAAGGCAGCCTGGGCACCAGCCTCCTCAGTGAGGGGCAGGCAGCCTCCGCGGCAGCACGTTCCCATCGCCATGCATAGCCCAGCTGGCTTTATCGGCGAGCCCGGGCAAGCCAGCTTGAGGAAACGGAGGGGGAGGAATTAGGTCCTGCGCTCCTTGTTTATGCCTTTGAACTCCCCCTCCATCCCCCCCCCCCTTCCTTGTCGCTTAAAATGGGGGGGGCGAGGAAGCGGCCGCCGCGCTGGCACGTCGCAGCCCGTTAGGAGAGGGACCGGGCGGTTTCTTCAGCTGCCGCTGCTGGCATCCTCCTGCTCGAGCGGCTCCTATTTTCCGTCCTCCCGATTCCCACCCGCCGAATTCCTTCTTCCCCGAGCCGGGGGAGGGCTCCTCAAAAAAGCGCGGCGGTTCGGGGCGGGCGCCTTTGCCGTTCGGACACCGCACCTTCCCTCCCCCGGCCCCGCCGCGCAGTAAAGCGCCTTCTCGACGTTCAGCCCAGAGCCGGCGCCGACCCCTCAGTGCGCTGCATGGCGGCAGTGCCGGATTTTAATGCCAGCCCGTTCCCTCCGTCGCAGGGCCGCCGTTTCCCCCCTCGGGGCGAGAGCAGCGGCGGCGGCGGCGGCGCGCGCCGAGCCGTTAAACGGTGGGGCGCAAGGCCGAGACGTCCCGATGATGTCATGGGGGCCGGTGGGCCGAGGCGGCGGCGGCGCCGTGAGGCGGCCTGGGCCTTGCTGGGGGCCGCCGCCGTAAATCCAGGGGAGAAGGGGGAAAGGTTGGGATAAAGCTCCGAAGGGCACGTCCCTCCACCCTCCCGCCTCCTCCTTCTTTATGGAGGTTTATCCGGGAGGAGAGGGAGCGTGTGGAAAGGCTCGTCCCAAAAGTGGTTGGTTTTGGTGGGAAAGGCGGTTGAGGAACAGCGTGTTTTGGGTGGAGAGATTGGGGATTCCAAGGAACTTCTTCACTGAGAGCTTCCGCTCGAGTCAGAATAAATCCTCCTGGGGACAGATTTATGGGGTTGGTTCATAACACGTGTCGCATCTCTGAGACCGTTCGTAGGCTACAGACGTTTTTTAAGGCTGTTGTCAAAGTTTCGGTTCTTCTTCTTTTGGCACTTTCTAAAAGGCTTTGGAGTTGGTGGCCAAGCCACAGAATTAGCTTCTGTAGCAGCCTGATCAAGCCCAAAGGTTTACAACCACTGGAAGTGCAGTTACTTAAAACCAAAATCGCAGCGTTCCAAGCATGTGACTTGCTTCAGATGAAATTTGGTCTTGAGCAGAAGACTCACACAGAGTTCAGGTACCACACATGTTTTTATTTTTTGCTGTGAATGATGACTTTGTGTTAGTGCTCATCTTTGGGGTTAGTTTCACTTTTAGAAATCGGCATTTTGGGTGGTTACAAAAGTTACTACTTTAAGCTGCACTTCTCATGTCACAATCAGCTAAGCTAAGCAGACCTCTCTAGCTATGCCTTTTCTGTTGCTAAATATATGTACCCACAGTGACATGTACAATGACTTTTAAAGTCAATGTTAAAATGGAAGGACAAGGAATTGGTTACTAAGCCAGCAAGAGCGGGCATCTTAGTGGTCTGTCTAATACAGCAAAGTATTCTCCAAATGCCGTGAAAGTTAAATAACTAGAATACCAGATCAGGAAACAAAATTGTAATTGTGGTACAGGATGGGTAGGTATAGTTTATTCATGGTCAGGGCCTATTCTTAGAGTCTGATTTATGATTTGCATTTAAGAGTAAACAGTACGATCATTGTAAAAATGATCCAGTGCAGTAGTTTTTAACTTTTTCTGTCTGTGGTTTCTCCTAGACATGTTACAGAAATATATTGCTATATAACATTTAAAAACTTGCTTTTCTTTTATACCTGTCGCAGACTGTGTAGAAGTAATCCGTGGACTTCAGGATTCATTGAGTGTTCAGCCACTGGTTCAGCATAAATCCATTTGTCATCGTATGTGTAATCTGAGGACCAGTGCTCTAATTTTGTTCCGTGAAATGTAGACATCTGTACTGAAGTGAATGTAACTAAGCTGGTTTCCCATTGTAGTCAATGGGGAGAAAAAGATGCTCTAGGGACCAGATATCTCATTCTGAATCACAAGTCTAAAATACATTGGATGGGTTGCGCTCTGTTCTCTTTATTGTAAGGGTGGAGTTTAGGCAAGAGACATAATGCTGTGTTTAGCTGTTGTACCAGGAGCAGGTCACATCCCCCATGGAGGAAAAGCAAATCCAGGAGTCATGGGATTGGGAATCTGGGAGCTGAAGGCAGATGTCAGTTAAGGTGGCTCCAGTAAGCATGAAGCAGGAAGTGAATTTGCAATTGGAAGGGGAGGAGGAGAAGAGCTATAGAAGGACAGGTGAAGAGATCTGTGCTGACCAGTTCTTCAGAACAGCTGGACTAGAGTTACGAAAGGTTCAGAAAAAAAAAGTGTGAAGCAGCTTTTGTTGCAAGGTGAGTGGATTAGGGGTAGCCAAGCGAAATTTCTTGGGGCTTTGCCACAAGGAGGCATCCTGAACCCTGAATAAATTGCCCACTTCATGATGTAAGGGGCGCAACACTAAAGACAACAGGAAGGAGGTTCAAAAAAGCCAGAGGACCAGTGTGCTATATAAGCATCTCAGACAAAAGAAGCGAGTACTCTCAGGAGAGTAAATATCTTTCCCTCTCTCTCTTTTATTTTTTTTCCTTGAATATTTAACTCTACTTTTCCTCAAAAAGGAAGGGTATGGGAAAGAGTGTAAGGGACGTGTAAGTGCAAAAGCATTCATGAACCCCATTAGAGCTAGCAGCAGACTGATTAGAGCTTTCCCTAGAAAAAAAAGAGCCATGACTATTTCCCCTGTTTTTCAACTTAGATCAAAGGTATGAACCATCTCCAGACTTGGGCAACCCCACTGCAAAGTTATTGTCAGCTGTGGTACAGACCTCTTCCATTTTCTCCTGCTGGAGTCATTTAATAATCATGGCCTAGAAAGTAACTGGTGAAGTACTCAGCTTTGTTGTTGGTGACTGAGTATCCTGTATTCCAACTGTAATTTTTTTTCAGTTTAGTTACCGTTTAAGAGTCCAGGGACTGAGTCCAGTACACTCCCTGATCAGGGTCATCTTATTGGAGAATCCTGCTCTTATATTCTTGGTCTTTGACATCATCTGCAGATCTGGGCAGCTTATTCCCTTGAGGTGGTGGTGATGTTTGGGTGCACATGGCCCAGGTACCAGGAACTTGGGCACTGGAGTCGGGGACAGTAGAATGCTGTTGCAGAAAACTTTGTTGGTGTACAAGTAGCGTTTTGGGTACTTGGCACCTAATTTCTGTTGGGGATATGTGCCCTGGAATCCTGTACGACAGTTGTGAAGATGCTGGGTAGGTGATTCTTGTTGTTTTTAGCTTTTTCCTCAGAATTAGAAAGGTTTTTGAGCAAAGTCTGACACTAAGAAATCTCACTAATGGAGTCTGAGGTAGAGATTGGGCTAGAAGACAGGCTATGACAAGTAACTGTCAGTTGAAAAGATGGGGTGAGATATTTGCCTCACCAAGTTCAGTAACAAATCTCAACAATTTCAGTGGAATGAGGATTTTCAGCATTTCAGAAGTTGTGAATAGCTAAAATATAAAACACTCATGTCCCTATTCTCTTGATCATTTCAGTAATTAAGGTGGTTATTGGCTGTCTTGAAATTTGTATATGTGCAATGCCTACCCAGGCTGCACAAGGCAAGCTCTGAAGCACTGTAGGATTTTGTGACATTTCTACAAAACAGGAGAGATACTCTGCAAGGTGTACCCACCTCTGTGCAGAGGCCAGCACAAGATTTATGTATTGCTTAAGAGACTGTGATAGATGCTATCAAAGTACATCCTTTTCAAAGGGCTCAAGGAATTCTTCCAAGGGAAATTTCTTGCTTGTGCAGTAGATTTGTGCAACTTTCAAATAGTATTTAAGTAGGACTTATGTAATACAGAGACCTGTGGAAGACCCCTGCACAGTGGAGGATTTCACCTGCAATATATTTCGTTTCTGTGCTTTGTAAAGTATTTGCAGAGTTAAGACATTTGTTGGTAGTGTCTGGGTCCCGGGTTGGCTCTCAGCACAGACATAAATTTCACCCCACACTGAAAATCTCTCTGGTGTTCTCTGCCTCAGTGATGCATATTTTCACCCACAAGAAAGTTGCGTTCATGTGACCATAGCAATTCCTATGGATAATAATTGCAACTTTTTTTGTATTAATCTTTAGCCAGATCCTCAAAAGGTTTATAAATATTTCTCAAAAACGTTTAATTAGGTATTTTAAGAAACCTTTCATAACTGCCCTTTGAAACTTAATTTTTGTTCTAAAAAGCTGATCTATGTTGCACGTTTTTCACAGGGATAAATGAAGGTTTAAGGGAAAATACACATAAGCTTATCTACTAAGCATATGAAAAAGGCTTTGTCCTGCAGAGGAAAACCTCTGCTCTGCGTGACTCTAATGGGAGCGAAGCACCAGTATGCTTTTGAAAATCCTGTATCCTCAGACTTCTAAACATGTTTTACCAGTTCATTCATTAGGACTACATTTGGAAGACTGGACACATCTTTTGCATCTAGGTTTCATAGACACACTGTTAAATCAGTGTTGCAGTATTAAGTTCAGTTATTTTTTGTGCAATTTAAGTAGTGTGGACATGTAATTACTTGACTTCATTTGCATATCAGGTAGTTAGAAATGCAAATGAACTTAACTGTGGCCATGAATAATTACCAATGTTAAATTGCACTGCTAATTACTTGTGCCTGCAAAAAGATAAGCTACATTTTTAAATTGCTGGACTTCACAAATGGCCTTTTTATATATATGATTTAGAGAGAGAGAGAAGGAGTTAGGCAAAGAAAGGTCCATTGCAGTCTTTATTGTTTGTGCACCATATGTATATTGTCCTGGACTGAAGAATTACAAAAGTGATTGCCAATGTGCTTGTCTTCACAGCCAAGGCAGAGTGATAACACCTAATTTAAGAGATCCAGTGACATCCACAGCTGAAGAAGTAGTTCCAAGTAGATACCGTTGTTGAGATAAGATTTTTCATGGTTGAGAATATTTTGTAATACTGCCATATTGGGTCACTCATAAATGTATAAATAACGTAATATTCAAAATTTAATCTTTGAGCAATTTGTTTAGCTCAAGTTTTGGGGTTTTTTGTGGTTTGTTTTGTGTGGGGTTTTTTTAAGTAACAGAGGCTAAGCATTATCTTGTATGTCTGTAAAACAAATATTTTAATGTGAATAATTCTGAATTTGCAGTTTTGTTAGTGGGAAGTATTGACATTCCATCAACTGTTTTTAGTTAATATGGGCAGCAATGTAGAAGCGCCTCAGTAACAGGGTCCCCAGTGAGGTCCTGAGCTGCTGGCTTCAGAAGGACACTGGCTGTTATTCCCCGCACTCCTGGGGTGGAGAAAACTTTTTGTCAGAACATCAAGAGAATGTGGAGCAAGCATACTGAAGTTCCTATTATATCCAGTCTCTCCACTCTCTTTCTATGTCAGAAAATCTGTTGATGTTTTGGTAACTGGATGTGGAATGGGAGAAAAAAGGCTTTCTTCTTTCTCCATTACAGAAAATAAAATACCATTCCTT